TTAAACAAATGGATTTCAAATTTATTCAGATACAAGATGGCTTCCAAGCATGGTGCAAACACAAAGCCTAATAATATGTTCATGTTTATGTCAAATGAGGATGTTTTACAAAAAATTACAGCACTAAGGACTTATTTAATTAAAAAAAATCATCATGTCATCTTAAAGTAGAACAAAGCCATTTAAAAAAATTTAAATTTCATCAAAAAATCTCTTGGTGTTTAGAATGTAAAATTACCAATTCCCTCAATTTGAGGGGTTTTAATTTATTACTCATTAAACACAAAAAGATTTTATGATTATTTTTTTAATGAATTTTGATATGCTTTAAAATGGTGTAATTTTTATTTCTTTCAAAAATATTATCTTCCTAAGAAGACGAATTCGGAGCATTTTTATACAAATGGCATTAAATGCTGTTGCAAAAATTTATAATTTTAAACATAAAAAAAAAATTTAAAAATAATCAAATTATCAAGATAAGTACTCTTATATGCTAAATATGCTAAATATGCTAAATATATACAGGAATGAATGTTTATTAAATTTTTACAACCCGCCCCCATGCTTCACAAGACCACCCAGTTTATTAATTATTATCAACAGTTTATTACTTTTGGTTATTAAGAGTTTATTACTTATTATCAACAACAACAAAAAAGAACATCTCAAAACTAAAAAAAAAAAATCAGAAAAAGTATAAATCAGCCACTAATAGGGAATAAAAACTTTCAGTTTAAATTGTCGTCCTTTAAAAAATTTTGATTTGTCAAAATTTAGGCTTTCATTTATTTCTCGCTATAGTATAAAACTTTATACTACCACATTTTAAATAGAAGATCATATTTTACAATGTTATTTTTTCAAGTTTCAGAGATACAAAAATAATAAGAGCAAATAAAAGAACTGTCTAAGAATGAAAATGCTTTTTAACTTTTACAATTGATTAAAATAAAAAAATATGATTAATATATATATATATATATATGTATATATATATATATATATATATATATATATATATATATATATATATATATATATATATATATTAATAAAAAATAAATTTATCAAAATAAAATAAATATATAAATAAATATATTAAAAAATATATATATCAAAATTAAAAAAAATAAATATTAAAATAAAAAATATATATAAAATAAAAAAACAAACTCATTTAATTGTAAATTAAATTCATTTGAATAAAAAAAAATAAAAATAATAGTTACATATAAATCTTGTAATAATAATCACAACAGCCTCAAGTTTAATTTCAAGCACTCATCCGCTACACTAGTGCAGTGTCAGAGGTTACAAGACTATTTAGAGAGACTATTTAGAGAGTAACCTTGAGAATAATTTCATGAAGGTGATTAGGAAGCATTATTGTATAGGTTATTAAAAAAAATATATATTTTTTTATCAGCTTTATTGCCATATTTTTATATATATATGAAACTTTCTAATTAAAAAGATGAGAATGAAGCGGATTAAAAAATTAAAAAAAAAAAATTAACTAATAAATAACCTATACAATAATGTTACGTAATCACCTTCAAGAAATTTTAAAATATCATTTTAAAATCTTGTCGTTTGATTTGTATGATAATAATAAAAGATGATTTTAATTAGAACAAAACTTACTTCAAAAATGTCACGAGCATCAAAAGTAACTCTTTGCTTTTTACCACACTTGTTTGGCTTATCAAAATTAGTACAATTGTTAGTATCGTCTAAGCGAAATATAGTATTCATAAGAGTGGCATGGAGTTTCACACTTTCCTTTTCTTTTCTCACACATGGAAATGATGATAAAGTTTTAACTAATTCATCAACAAAATTTTGAATTCTGGAAAAAAATATTTCTAATAACTATAAATAAATAAATATTAAATATAAATCATATTAATTAATAAATCAAGAAATTTCAGAAAAAATTTTCAAATATTAAAAAAAAAAAGTTTTCTAAACTTATTTAACCAGCCTTTTTAAACACTGATTAGAATATTTACTTTTAATTTCAAAAATAATGCATTGATTACAAAATAAGTTGTTAAATGCAACCTCTTCGTACTATCTTCAACTTTAGCATATAAAACATCTACTTCACTAGGGTCATCATTCATATATTCAAGACCTTTTAAGTGGATACAAAGCTTTTCTCCATTGCAGAAGTGCTTGCTACAAAAAAGTTATTCAATATAATATTATTATTTAATATAATAACCATAACAGCATCTCATTAAAATGTTTTAACATTGGTTATAAAATCAATAACATCTCCAAGAAAAGGACAGACCATTCTTTCATTTCCAAAAGATGATTTTAATATATTTTTAAAATGTAACTTTTGTAAATGAACTCATTAGTTTTGTAAATGCACTGATATTTGATATCTCGAGATCTCATTTAAGTGAGTCAGTCCGGTTAACTGGCTAGCCTGCCTCATATAAACCCATAATGTCATTTATGTTAAACCACATGTAATAATATGCAAAGATAAAAATATTCAGATGCGTCTCTATCATTTCTAGTTTAGAAAAACTTTGAAAAATAAAATTATTGGCAATAAATTGTTTTTCTACACTGTATCCTTGTTTAGTGATAAAAGAGGGTTGTAACAATAGTTGTTGTTATTTTTCAACTAAGTTAATTTAAATAAATGTTTTTTAAATAAAAATAGCATTTAAAAAAAAAAAGCAATCAAAAATACTTGATCTACTTATTATGATGCTACTTTTAGCCTACATGATTTTAATTGAAATATTTTTTCGTCCTTATGTTCAACAAACATCATTTTTTGAGACAAATGACATAAGGGGCAAATACTAAACTTTATTATATAATTATTTGCTAAGTATTCAACCAACCAGTGTAGAATCAGAGAGCTTTTTCGGTAGCTGGCTTAATCTGCACCAGAATTCGGTCAAGAATGGGAGATAATTTATTTAGCAATCTATGTTTTCTGAGGTCTTATATCAACAACCAACTGCAGGAAAAGTAGAACCTTAAAAATTTATGTTTTCTTCCTTTTCTTATGATTAATATATAACTAACATTTTACTGAATTTTTTTCTTTTTTTTATTCTTTAAATAAGTAAATATAGTTTTTTTTAATTGCCAAACCATTTTTTAATTATATTATTTATTCATTTGTATTATTATAGGAAAAATAATAATACTGGTATTAATACCGGAATCCCGAGTTTAGAAACTTTCAATACCGAAATACCGGTATTTGATTTTTAGTCCGGTACTCCCAACCCTACTTGTATGTATTTATTTAATAACTATTTTAGGTGTTCCAAAACTTTTAGTAAATTCATTGCAGTATATAAACTTCATTCTTTGAACTCTTTTTTTTAAATAAAAAACAGAAAATGAAGTTAACGCACAGTTACATTAATAAAGTACATCATTTTTTTGAGCTAATTCATTTTTTAGAAGATATTAAAGCATTAAACTTTTTTAGAATTAACCAGTCCGGTTATTTTAAAAACCAGTCCGGTTATTTTAAAACACTGCAATTAATTATCATCAATTGAAATTTTTATTTTAGTTTTATTAAACTTTTTTGTTCAATGGTTTTTATAAATTCAATATTTTAGCTTTTAAAACACTTTATAAACATAAAATTTTTACAACCAATAGTCAACAGACTAACTAGCCTGTTTATTAAATTGTAAAGTAGACAAAAATAAATAATCAAAAAATTCTTAAGATGAAACTTGAAATAATTGAAAATGTAATTTTTTTTACCATGGAGACTTATTTAATATAAATAGGCTGTTCAACTTCACAAAAATAGATATAATAAAAGATAGAATAAAATTTTATGCCACAAAAAAATAGAAAGCAAACTAATGTTTTTGCGAGCTTTTAAATCAGCCTTTACTGCTTTTACTTTGTAGAAATTTTATCATTAAGGTTGCAAGCTTGATGTTATATTTGAAAATAATTTTAACAGGTTTATTTATTTTTAGCCTTTAATAAGCTTTAATTTAGCAAGCTAGATATTATATTTGACAATCATTTTACTTTGCTTTCAATAAAATCTGATTTAAAATGTCCATTTTAAAAATACTTTTGTGAAAATCACACTCTTTTATAAGAACATTTATATAAGAAATACAAAGCTGAAATATGACAAATGCTAAAAATAAATAAGAATAGATTCTCAGGAGACCCAGAAAAAGAGGAAAAACTGTAAAACCTCTCTGAAAAACTAAAAACACTTGAGAAATTTGGAAGAAAAAAACACACACACTGAAAAAAATTCTTATATGAGTTTAAAAAACTGAAGATTATTATCAACAACTTATTATTTTATGATAATTTTTAAATGTCTTCTATGTTTGTTTTTTATGTTTAAATGTCTTCTATGTTTGTTTTTTATGTTTATATGCCTTCTATGTTTGTTTTTTATGTTTATATGTCTTCTATGTTTGTTTTTTATGTTTAAATGTCTTATATGTTTGTTTTTTATGTTTATATGTCTTCTATGTTTGTTTTTTATGTTTATATGCCTTCTATGTTTGTTTTTTATGTTTAAATGTCTTCTATGTTTGTTTTTTATGTTTATATGCCTTCTATGTTTGTTTTTTATGTTTATATGTCTTCTATGTTTGTTTTTTATGTTTAAATGTCTTATATGTTTGTTTTTTATGTTTATATGTCTTCTATGTTTGTTTTTTATGTTAATATGTCTTCTATGTTTGTTTTTTATGTTTATATGTCTTCTATGTTTCTTTTTTATGTTTATATGTCTTTTATGTTTGTTTTTAATGTTTAAATGTCTTCTATTATCAACAACTTATTATTTTATGATAATGTTTAAATGTCTTCTATGTTTGTTTTTTATGTTTAAATGTCTTATATGTTTGTTTTTTATGTTTAAATGTCTTATATGTTTGTTTTTTATGTTTATATGTCTTATACGTTTGTTTTTTATGTTTAAATGTCTTATATGTTTGTTTTTTATTAATTGTAGATAAAATAATCAAAGCCAAAAAGACAATTTGTTTTACAATAGGTTCCTAAATGGAGGTCTTTACTTTTAAATGACTTTTAAAGTTATTTAAAAGTATTTAAATTACTTGAAAAATTCGTGAAGATTTAATGTTTTTAAGACAAATTTATATGACTTTCTTTACAAGTCATTTACAGCTAAAATCTTGAAAAGAATTGTTTAGCAAAAGTACAGAGTAGTTAAAAAAGTTAGCCACGGCAGGGTTCAACGTAGTTAAATTTATCTCTAATCTAACAATACAGTTTCAAAACTCTAGAATTTTTAAATACAATCTTGAAATTTTTGAATGCAAATTTTATTCACACACTTTTGCTGAACTAAGTCTGTGTTAAAGCAATACTATATAAACTTTAATATAAAAATACTAAAGAAATGACAACATACTTTAATATAACTATTCTATTTCAAAAATACTAAAGAAATGACAACATACTTTAATATAACTATTCTATTTCAAAAATACTAAAGAAATGACAACATACTTTAATATAACTATTCTATTTCAAAAATACTAAAGAAATGACAACATACTTTAATATAACTATTCTATTTCAAAAATACTGAAGAAATGACAACATACTTTAATATAACTATTCTATTTCAAAAATACTGAAGAAATGACAACATACTTTAATATAACTATTCTACTTCAAAAATATTTTGGTAAAAAATTTTTTTTTATTAAAATAAATTAAATTTTTTGATGGTTTCAATAAAATTAAAATATACATAAATCGAATATATTGAAGAGTCACACAACCTAAATAAAAGACTTCTATAACAATAAAGCAACTAAACTTTAAATTTTAAACTATTAACTGTTATACCCTACACAGCCTTTTAACTAAAAAACAAAATATTGGGCATTTTGAACCTTTTAACAAAAGGTTCAAAATGCCCAAATTAAAGAAATTTCAGGCTAAAGCTAAAAATTGTTTCTTATTAAAAAAAAAACTTAAAAAAAACTTAAAAAAAACATTTTTTTATTGTGATAAAACAGCCCATTTTATTGTGATGAAACAGCTCATGAATACATTATAAAATTTGTAAATGCATCTCTGTAAAATAAGAAATATGTTACCATTTTTTTTTTACCTGTATAAGTCTTTTGTTATTTGTGTTATCGATTCCAAAGTGTTAGACTAAAGAAGAAACTAAATTAGAAAAAAGGAAACATGCAAACACAAATAAAATAAAAAAATGTTAAGTAAATTAATTAAAGTCAATGATACTGACTAGTTCCAGATCATTTAGAAACTGTAACATGCAAAGTGTGAGATGTAATCTTTCAGGAAACTGAAAGATACTATTTTCAATGCCTCTACTCTAAACTTTCAAAAATAAAAATCATTAAATTCAAAATATAACCACAAAAACAATATAAAAAACTTAAACTTAATAACATACTTAATTAGAACATTTTATTCAGTAATCCCCAATGAGTGAAATATAAATCACATCATAACCAAAATGATAAAAAATATCTTACATTAAGTTGGATAACTTTATTTTTAAATAAATTAAAAGATTCTTTGAGATCATCTGATACTAGATTTATTGCCAAGAAATGAGTTGAAGGTTGATCTCTTCTGTTTAAATCAATTATACTCATTATTTTTGATTGTGCTGTCAGTATACCAGATTGATTATTTCCACTTATTTCTAAAAAAACACTTTGTTATAAACAGAATTAGGCATTATCTTTTTATATATACCTTTTTTTTTTTTTCAAATTTAACAAAACTAGACTAAAAAAATAAAATTGAATCAATATAAAAACTTTTGCATAAAATTACCAATATCTCCATCTTGACCCTTTTTAGGTAACTTTAATACTGTTTTTGTTTGATTTTCAATCATTTGCTTCTGTTCACCTCCTTTTCCGAATATAAATTTAAAATAATAACTTGGTATGTCTTTTATATACAAAATAAAACCGGTTTTCGTTTTTTCTACCGCATTGGCATCATTTCTACAGGATTCAGGTTCATCATAGTAGCAAAAATCTATTGTAAGAAACTGTCATATGAGTATGAATAATTTGCAGTACTTGGAAAACAATAACATAACTGATTTTTAAACTAAAATCACCTTCTTCAATATATGGAGCAATACCAGCCTCTTTCTCAATATTAGTCTCTGTGTTAGATAAATTTACTTGAGTCAAATGCCTATACTGTCGGCCATCAACATTGATTAGTTTTGGCTTTAAAATGTTCATTACTCTTTTCGAAGCATAATCTAAACTCATAATTAAATATTTTAATTGATACAATCCATTAAATAACTATTTTTTTATAACTCACAATTTGGAGGAAAAATAAATAAAATAAATGTTGATATTAAAACAAAGAGTGGAGAATAAAATGCAGACAAAAACTGATAATAAAATGGAGTGCAGACAATAGAATAAACCCTAAAACAAAAACGGTATTATCTTTAATTTAATTTTTATCAAAAATTGTATATACACTAAACTACTATTAAAAAACATGACAGAAATGATACATTTCATGACAGAAACGGTGAAATCAACTTTAACTTTATCAAACATAAGAAAATAAATCAAATCTACTCAAGTCATCAAAATACGCATACCACTTTTAAAAACCAAAAACCATTAAATTAAAAAAAAAAAATTAATAAGGAAAAATAAAGTTATTGAAAAATAACAAAAGGAATGTGTTCATAACAATAAGTAAATAAAAATAAACATATAAATGCTACTGCTATAAATACTTTAATTTTGAAAAAAATGATATATTTATATTATTATAATGCATGTCTTTATAAACACAGTATTTTTGTGTTTACACAATCTTTAGAAATAACATTAATCACAATGTGTCTTGGAAGTTTGTGTTTATGTCCAGAGAATTTAAGTTTTGAGGGTTTGAATTCATGTCCTGAGAATATGCGCACCTCTCATTTTTGATGGCTACTAATAAACTTTGATTGCCCATTTCTTCTTTTTTATTACCATAAACATTTTTAGACTTTAATGATTTATCTATTAAACTCTTTTCTTCATTATCTCCTAAGGACAAACTCTTCAATACAAACAATTCAGCTTCATTTTTATGACTCTCTGGTATATGTATACCGTCCTCTGTTAATGTTAGATTAGTTTCATCTTGTTCATCTATGCCATGATTTAAATCTTTTGATTTTTTATTTGATACAGATTTCTCTGAATCTTCTTCATCAAGAGACTTTTGGTCATCTTCACTGGGTTCATAATTAGTTTGAATTTGGATAAAATCATCGCTGGCGTTTCTATTTTTCATATATTTATATACATCTGTTTCAACACCAAGATTTTCAGATAATGTAACATCAGAGCCGTAACCAATAAAAACATCAGGGGAGCTTGAGATTTTAGAAACTTTAGTTGACAAAACTTTTGATTGGTCTTCAGTATTGTGTTCACGCTTGAGATGTTTAAGCAAAACATAGCGTCGCATAAATCCGCGACCACAACATGAGCAAAAATAGCAGAAATTGTTTGTATGTGTGCGTTCATGACGAATCATTACATCACGCCTTTTGAATATTTTCCCACATTGTGGACATTGATGAGACTTCTTGTCACAGAGTAACTAAAATTAAAAATTACCATTTAAAAATAACAGCTTTAAAGGTTAATGAGAAAAATAAAAAAAATACATAGCTCAATCAAATTTTTATCAAAAGTTTCATTCAACACCTAAGAATAAATCACCAACCTAAACAAATTTTATATTTTTCTGATCAACCAACTTATTTTAAAATATTTTATGGTGTGCAACATTTTCAGGTTTTACCATTTTTACCATGTTTTTGTTAAATCTGTTATAAATTTTTAATATATTATAAGTTATTAAGGGTGAATGTTTCATATGATTTTATTTAAAAGCACTACATTTTCATTTTATTTGTTGCACTACTAAGACCTTATTTGAGAACCAACAAATTAAGAAGTTATAATAAAAATATCATGCTATGTGTAAATAGTATATCTTTTTAAAATCATTATTAGAGTGGTTCCAAAAGGTTAGGCAAGGAACTACTGTCAACTGTACATATATCAACTAAAAGGTTATGAACTAAATAATAAACCACCTGAACTTAAAATAGATGTATACCAATATAAATTTTTTTTTTTTATCTTTGTCTAAAAAAATCTTCAAAACACACAAGATCTTGTGGAAGATTTACAAAGCATTTAAAAAGCAAAATTATTAATTTAAATTTTATTGCATAAAAACTTTTTAATAACTAACATAATTAATTTTTTCACGGTTTTTGAAGAAAAATTTTTTTTTAGAGAGTTTTATAAAAAACAAATATTATTTTTAAAACTTTTTATATAATTTCTCTTCTTTTGAAATCCAGGTTGATACCTAAATAAATTTTTGTTGTTGAATATATTCAGGCCAAATCTAATCTTCCATGTGGTAACCTTAAAAATAATTTTTAAAACCCAATTTTTTCAAATTAGTGTTATGATATCAAGCACATTCAGAGTGTAATTCTATAGTCCACAATCCTAATATTTATACAAACAAACTAAAACCCATTCATATTTGTACATTTTCCCTATGTATATCATTAAGTCATTTGATGTACTTTTCCTTTGTTACTTTAGGGAACAAAAAAATGTCCACATGAATCTTTTGTCTCTGCAAATAACTATACATACATACATACATTGTATACACAAACTTTTCCCTCCCTATTTCAGTATGACAAGAGCATTCTTTTATCAATCAGTAGAGTGTGTGTGCAGGGCTGACGACACCAGGAAAAGGGGACACATTTCCCTCCCCCTCCACTTTTTTCTAAAGGACTTTTTTTATAGAAATATCTAGATAGAGAGGATTTTTTTTAGAAATTGACCATTGTACTCCTCCACTTTGAAACCCGTGTCGTCGGCCATGGTGTGTGTGTATATATATATATATATATATATATATATATATATATATATATATATATATATATATATATATACACACATACATACATACACACATACAAATATTGCTGTGTACCTTGCATGAAACATGATTGATAAAGACATACTGAAATAGTGATCTGCAATATATACATCAACTAAGGGTTTAAGACTTTTATGATGACAACATTTTTTTTCGTTTTATTATTATTATTCTTTTTTTTTCTTCTCCTTCTTTTTCTCATCAGATGTATTCTTAGTTATAACTATAAAACAGACTGTTGACTTATTTCTTCATGAGAGTGCTATTATATTGCAAAATAGCTTTTAAATAGCTATTAATGTTCTAATCTAAAGGAATAAATCAAAGCGTCAAATAACCATAAAATATTTTTTCATATTAAGTGATTTAAACATTCACAATTCATATTTTAATATATTTTACCTCTATTTTTATTAAAAAATACAAAAAATATTGACTATGTTGTTGAATGATTATTGAAATGTAAAAAAATGTTAAAAAAACCACCATTCAAAATAAAAGTTAAAAGATAAATGTAAAAAAAAAAAAAAAAAAAAACATCTATATATTTTATGAACTTTGATATATAAATTTTCACCTATACTATAGTTGAACACACAAATCAACAAATAATTATAAAAAGCATAGTCATAAAAAAACAACATGTATTACAGCAACATAAGTAAGATATTTTATAATTTATGAGTATTAAGTAAGTGTCTCCTAAGGTTTGATGTTTCTGTAAAAGTTTTCGGACACATAGAACATGTATGCAAAGTCTTTTGTTTGTTGTGAACAACACGTAAGTGACGATACATATTTGATTTATAATTAAACTGCTTTTGGCAAATTTTGCAACTTGAAAGACTTTTTCTTTTCCTAGAAGATTTTGACAAAGTAGAATTGTCTGTAGTTACCGAATTTATTTTTTGTCTATTATTATAATCAGACTTAACATTTTGAGATAAATCTGTTTCTAACTCATTTTCAGCTTCACTATTGTCTATTTCGTTGTTGTCATTTTTATCATTTTCACTATCCGAGTTAGCACATGTTGAATCAATATTTTCATTAAAAGAGAGACTTTCTTCAAAATTATTAGGAGAAACCAGCGTATTGTCTAACATCACCATGCTGTTTTCATATTTTGTTAATTTAGAAAAATTTGTATTGTTCGTTGGTGATGCAGAAACTGAAGTAACATCATTGTTTTTGTGTATGGCTCTCATATGACGAATCATGTTAGATTTATAATTAAAAGCTTTAAAACATATCTTGCAATTAGTTGGAGTTCTTTTTTTCTTTGGAAAGATAGTACGAGCTCCCAGGTGAAGATTTGGACTTTTCGGTTCTGGAGAGTCAATGTTCCTCGCCTGATCCTCTTTATTATTTAGTTTACTAACAATAAAGTCCAGTTTTTTACCATGATTGTTCGGATGTCCGGTTAAGTAAAGCATGGGCTGTCCAGATTCGTCCACTATTTCTTGATATGACTTTTCGTAATCGTTCACTGGAGGATGACCAAACTATAAAAAATCATACCAAGAAATTGTAGACAAATCATGTGAAATATGCACAAATATGTCTAACAAAAATACAATTAAAATATACATTTTAAGCATATTACTTACACCTATGCTTGTACCACTAACTACACCCAATTATCTTGAGCATCCAAAATTAGGGACAAAATCTATGATTCTCCCTCCCTTGGAATTTTAAACTGTGTTATGATTTTAAAGTCATGAAAATTTTGGCTTGCTTTGTACAAATAATGCTTTTAAATCTTAGACTTAAAGTGCGGTAGTAGACTAGTGGTAAAACACTTGACTCAAAATCAAGAGGTTTGAGATTTAAACCCATAATATGCATCTGGAAATACCTTTCTCATGCCTCTGAAAGTACATGCTTCTGTACAGCATAATTTCACCTTATATATATATTTTTTGCTTTCTATTTTAGAGTTTAAGTTTAAGAGAAACAAAATAAAAAAATTGTCCAATAGACTTGAGTAGCCCTCTTTGGAGCCTTTGGGAGGTAAGTAAAGACTGTTAATGTCTAGAGATATTTTAAGAACTTTAATTTTTCTATTTAAAAAATTCCTGTGGACACCCAAGCCATTACTCAAACTTCTTACAAAAACAATTACACTCATGAACAACTTGCTACATATAATAATAAGTTAAATTTATTTAGAACCCTGGAATTAAGGGTAATAACTTTACATCTATACCCATAGTAAGCAACCGGGTTGATATTTGACCGGGGCTGAGTTTAATAAAAGATAACCAGGGCTGGGATTGTAACAGGAGATGCATAAACACTGATACATCCTAAAAATACATTATTTTTATTTGAAACTCATGTTACATATCATCATCATCATCATCATCATCATCATCATCATCATCATCATCATCATCATCATCATCATCATCATCATCATCATCATCATCATCATCATCATCATCATCATCATCATCATCATCATCATCATAACTTAAGCCTTCCCAATTTATGCTGTTTCTCTAATAAACAATCTCAAGCATCTTCTCTCCTTAACTGAAGCCTGAAGCATACCAAATGCAACTCTCTCCAAGTTTTCATACTTTTACCTCTACCTCTTCCACTTGAAGCTGATACCCTCTAAATGCTGGAAACTAAATCATCTGTTAACCAAACCATTTTTTAGAGTAACACCACACATCTATCTGATCATCATCTACTCCCTCAGCAAATATTACACTATATAAAATAGAGAGTTTCCAAAATTGGAACAGCGCTTTAAAATGAACACTTAAATTTATTTTGAAGTAAAATGTCTCATGGCTATATTTTATATTTTTCTAATAAAATATTTTATTTTCTACGTTTGGAATGATTTTGAAATTTATTCTATAAAAAATGCACATGCACCATTAAATATTTTTTGTATCATTTTTTTAAAGTGATCTAGTTTAGTGTTCACATTATATTGATTACACCAGGAATACTATATTCTGTGGATTATATGATTTTTCATGTTTAATGCCATGGAATTTAAAATGCAAGTAGTAACATAAACTCATCTTATAAATTGCTGCAACCATGATATTGCAGTGATATAAAAAATACTTCTAAGTTTCCTAAATCTGAACTATGTTTTCCTTACTTAATCAAAGGGTTAAAGAAATAGTTTAGGTGCAATTTCAAAATTTAAAGTTACAACCATAAACCTCAAAAATAATTTTAACTTTTTATATTTATTTTAAAACAAAAAAACTCTAATAACTTATTTTAAAATAAATCTTTTTCATTATTATTTTTATCATCAATTAATTAATTTCTAATTTAAAACATTGAAACTTTTAATAAATAATTCTTCAAAGTTTCCCCCTAAACAAAAATCAACTTTAACGTTTAATACAATGCGCAAATAGCTTTTGCATAAATTTTTATTGGTTAATTTTTAAATTGCCGCGCAAATTTTTTGGACCTTTAGTAATTGATTTTTTTTTGGACCTTTTTTTTTTGATTAATCTTTAATCTACCTGGTGTTTAAACAAACAATAATTTAAAATATGTGAGTTTTGACAGATATTATTTTTGCAGTAGTAAACTTGTTTTGTTTTTTTTTCAATAATTTTTGCAATATAACAAATTGACAGTTTCATTAAAACAGTGTTCACAATTTTTAATAAATTAAGAATTTGAAATTTGAAATAACCTGAAATTTTCCAGATATTGAAATTTGTGATCACTTAATTCAAGCTTTGTTTCCAATAGCAGCACAATCAATTAAATCAAATTATGCTTAAAAGTATAGTAGGGTTGTCTGATTGAATTAATCAAATGATGAATATTTTAGAGTTTAATCATCTTTGATTAAAAAATATTTATTTTTAAGGTGTTCCAATTTCAGCAACTTTGTCCTACTAAGGTTTGTTATGTAAGATTATTGTATGCAATTAATTTAAATTAATAGCAATTATTTACATTTATAACCATACATATACATATATTATGCCAGTACTTAATAAATAGTAAATATATGTATAAATTTGTAATAAATGTATTTTTTCCCAGCCCTGGCTGTCAACCTCTGCTAAATCTTATAATTTTGTTGGAGTCGAAGCCAAGTTTGTAAAAAGTCTCATATTTAACCAGGGTCGGGGATCCAGTCATATCCTATATATCCATCCTCCTCCCCACTCCAGCAAAAAATAAAAATAAAATCTCTTTGAAATTAAAAAAGTTATTTTATAATAAATTAGTTTACTTTAAATGTATCATTTAAGAGGTTGCATTTATGTTTTAAGGTTATTCCAAGAACAATGTTTAAAACATGATTTGACACTAGATTTAATACCAAACAATCTACATTTAAAAATTATTAATAAAATGTTTTAGTTATATATATATATATATATATATATATATATATATATATATATATATATATATATATATATATATATATATATATATATATAAAACATATATAAAGCATCTATAACAGCAGTACCCAGGGATCAATGGAAACATTCCAAGAATAAAAAGACTAATATTTTTTATCATAAGGTAATAAAAAAAATAGGCTTTATGGAAAAAGTACTTTAATATTAAAGTACTTTTTCCATTTAATAAATAGTTTTTTATTATATATTCCTACTAAAGGTTGAGGGGGCCCACTATAGTCAAGAAGACTATAGTCACTTTTTTTGTTTTAAAAAAATGGTAATTGTAGTTATAGTCTCTAATCTCAATCCTATAACTCCAAAATGTGAACTTTGACAAACATGTATGCTGAAGAGAGAAACAAGTTATGTGCTATATTTCAGGGACAAAATGGGAATTCTGTACCTCTTGCTTATAGTACAAGTACTCTACACCACTATACCACTACCACACCACTACACCACTACCACAATTTATACAGCTACTTTTATTACTATATGTATTAAATTAAAAGTATTAATAGCAAGTGTGTAATTAGCAAACAATATTAACTATAATAACAACACTGAGACCTTTAAACTTTTTACCATCTTCAATATCTTTATGTAAACAGCTATGTTGTACTCATTCTATTTTCATGAGTATTTGCAACAAAATATAAGGAATTAAAAAAACACAAAGAATGAAAGAAAGAAAAAAAAAGAAATAATGTGATTACTTTTAAATTGTATTATTTATTACTATTTTACTATTTCACTATAAAAATTTGTTTTAATTTCATTAAAACTATTTCTATATACTTTTCAAACATAAAGTAATTCTATATAAATTTCAAACATTTCATGTCACATGCCATGATGGATAGTAAATCTAGATAGTTTGCTAAAATAAAAAAAAAATAAAAATTCTGCACATTTGATGTACACTATTTCTTTCATACAGTGGCAAACAAGAGAAAGCCATATTTAAGGAATTAAATAGATATACAACACTTGAACTATAAAATTTGTTTTGATCTAGCTGCTGAAAAAAATAGATTATCATTATTTAGCGCTATCAGATGCCTATTTGCTAAAAACGTTTGGAAACAATTTTTAAACTAAATGAAAAGTGAATTGTTGGAGTATTTAAATGTGATTATTTTGAAATAATAACTCATATCTTATTTATCTTGCTGACATCATGGGTTGCTTTGAAAAAATCATTTTTTAACTTTGAGGAAAGAATTTCATCACACTTGAAAATCTAAAGCCATTTATTGAAAAGCTCATACTGAACAAAAGGTTAAGAACAGAAGGTTGGGAAAAAAATTTTGGAAACAAAAAATAGAGAACAGAAGGCTGGATACAAAAGGTTGAGAACAGAAGGCTGGAAATAAAAGATTGAGAACAGAAGGTTAGGAACAAAAGGTTGAGAACAGAAGCTGATGTAGCACTTTAAATTATAAATTTTTAAAACTATTATTTAAAAAAAAAAAACTTTTATTCATCAAATGTTTAATTAAAATGTTTGTTTTTTTCCAAATAATTAAATTAAATTTCAGTTATTTTAAGCCATTTTGTAAAGAAATACCTCTGCAGATATATAGGGATCCAAATAAGAATTTTTAGGAAAACTAATCTGAAAAAATTAAGTTTTTTTATTATAAATCATAAAAAAACTCAACAACTAATAATTTCTTTTTAATTATTTTGAGGATTAGTTAATCTTTTTATGCACAAATACAATAAAAAATAATAACAATAATAATAATAAAAAAATATAAGTTATCATCCAATTATAAATGTATTTACAACATACAATACAACATTTAATTATAAATCTACAATACAAGAGTAAAGTGGATTTCAGGGTAAACAATCATTAAAATTTATTATTTGTTTAAATTAATTTAAATATGTTCAGGTTTGTAGTCAAACCAGATAAGCTAGTTCTTGCACAAGAGATGAGAGAGCCAGCAGCTTTCAAAAAAACTCCGCAAAAAAAAAAAATACTTGCTATAATTTTGAATTTTTAAATTATTTTTTGAACCATCTGCAACAATTCAAGTAGTATTTGTAGTAGTGATAATACTTTTTTTTTTTAATTTTCAGTAAAATTTTGTTTGATAAAAAGACCTATAATAAAAATGCACACCTATGATAACAAACCCCTGCACCACAAGCCTTCTAGTATTATTACAATTAAATCGGTTATCCAATTTCTTAGAATATTTTCAAAACCTGATAAAAACACAATATGAAAAATCTATGAAAGCTAGAAGTATAAAAACGAACTTCAAGTTTGTTAATTTAGTTAAGTTGATTAATTTACATACTTTAGAAAATAAAATGCTGAAATATAAATTTTATGTTTAAAGTTTTAATCTAAATTTTTTTTAAATAAAGAAAGAAAAAAAGAAAAAACAAATTTGATACAAATTTGACTTTCAATATTAAAACTGACATTTATAAATTTATCATGTTGGTCAAGTCCCAATACTAAGATTTAATATAACAAAAGATAAAAATATTGCTAAGTATTAATAAACAAGTACATACCATATTTTTTTCATCTTTTCCTTGAATTAAATCTAAATTTAAATTATAGAATATATTATTAGAACTTGAGTTCAAATACTTTTTACAAAAATTTGAAAAAAATTTAGTTCTATTAAAAAGTAATAAAAACCTGTATTCATAGTGTTAAGATTGCTTCTACTATTGGTAGAGTTTCGTGGAGAAAACTTTTCTGGTAGACTCCCAACCATAGTTGGGCGATCAGGAGGGATTTCATTGTGTTCAGTTTTAATAAGTATTTGGGGAGTAGATTTTGAATGATTTGATGTTCGCTGGGGATCCTGGGTAAAAAATCCATTTTCCACCTGATCATTGTGTTCATTATCCTAAATAAATTTAAGCTAATGTAATTAGTTTAAATAATTAACAACTAATTATATATACAACAAGAAACTTATTTATGATGATTTAAAATAAAGTATTTTAAAAATAAACAATTTATAGTTTAATAACAACTACATATTAGTTTTTAAATTTAATATATATATATATATATATATATATATATATATATATATATATATATATATATATATATATATATATATATATCAAGCCTTCCCAGAAAATGTGTGCCGTTTTTTGTCTTATATTTTCATACATGAGTATTTTATTTTAGACAACTTGTTAACGGCCATTTGCAGATTTTATTATATTAAGTGCTGCTGAAAAAAGTTTCAAAAACAAAGAAAGCAAAACTTACAAAATAGGAAATTAAAATAAACTTAAATAGAAATGCGTATACTTATGTATAACTTTTTGTATTATGTAATCATATTTATTTGTTGCTAAGTAAATATTTAGCTAATTTGGATAAGACATTAACTTCATGCACCTAATATCCATGGTTTGTTTCCTACAACTGTCCAATTTTATTATGTCATGCCATCTTCACATAGCTTTATTTGTTTCATATTACCTTTCTTTTCCTATGTTTTATATTTGCAATTTTTTAGTGGAGACACGTTTCATTTTAACATTCCACTCTGTGCGTGTGTAAAAAAACAACAAAAATTTAGGAAGAAGTGGGACTCAAACCACGATTACTTCGTTTATGATATCATTCCCTTATCCAAATAAGCTAAACGTACATATAGATTTAAAGAAATAAATATAATTATATAATAAAAAAAGTATGGGCTTGCATTACATAGACATTTTCATATAGGGACAATATATACTTGTTACATTGAAATTATACAAATATATCTTACTAACACATTGCTTTTCTCTTTATAATATATATATATATATATATATATATATATATATATATATATATATATATATATATATATATATATATATATATATATATATATATATATATATATATATATATATATATATATATATATATATATATATATATATATATATATATATAGGAAAATCATTCCTTTTAATGTAGATTTAAAATTATTTTTTGTGCGTGTGCTTTGCCTTATCTAATTTTGTTGCTAAAAATAACAACTCTAAAGAAATAAAAATAAAAACAGTAGACAAATCATTTAAATTATTAATTTCTTTTTATTTTATTTTTTTGTTTAAATTTCTTTTCATTTCCTCTTTTGTTAGTTTTGCTTTTTTTGTTTTTGAAACTTAGTTTTTTACGCAATGATTAATATAATAAAACTTGCAAACAGCCGTGACCTAGTTATCTAAAATACTCACTTGTGGTCATACAAGACAAAAAACCACACGCATTTCTTGGGAAGGCTTATGTGTATATATAAGCCTTCCCAGAAAGTGCGTGCGGTTGCAAGCCTTGTTTGTCTATGCCTAAAGTAATTTTTTTAGACAACTTGACCACATTTTTATATTGTAACCGTTATAAGAGTTTGCAGCAAAATAAAACTATAAGAAACTAGAGAAAATAAAACAGCAATACTTGAAGAAAGGAATCAAAGACTATACGAAATTGAAAATCTAAACAAAATAAGTTAAAAAAAATTAAATAATTAAAAAAAAAGTTGTCAAATAAATATACCTAAATTTTTTACTGTTTTTGTTTACTTATTTTAGGGTGTTTGTTATTTTCCACTACCAAAATTGATACAAGTCGAAGAAAAAAGCAGACAAGAATATGACAAAAATAAAAACATTTTTTGATATACAACTTTTTCACAACTTTTGCAGTAAAACACATTTGTAAAAGAAACCATGTTATGTTTTTATTTAATTTATTCTGTCATTAAAAAATTTATTAACCAAATAATATATTTTACAAATAAATAGTAATCTATTTTCTTATTGTCCTATTATATAAGTATTAAGAAAAAACGTCAAATATAGCAAAAACATTTTTAAAAGCGAAAAGACATCAAAACAAGTGAACATAAGAAAAAAAAAAAAATTTTAATTTTCTTTTTTAATTATTAAATTTTCTAATTTATTTAATTAAAACTTGATATTTTGTAACAATTTTGTTTTCCTTTTTTAGGATTGCTTTTTTTTCTCAGTAGTTTAGCTTTTTGCCGCAAATTATTAAAATGTTTTATAAGTAAAAAGATGCAAACTGCCATGGTCAGTGTCTAAAAAAATTATTTTAAACATGGATGAACAAGGCGTTCAACGGCACGCCCTTCCCAGGAAAGCTTGATATATATATATATATATATATATATATATATATATATATATATATATATATATATATATACATATATATATATATATACATACATATATATATATATATATATATATATATATATATATATATATATATATATATATATATATATATATATATATATATATCTGAAAATCTAAAAAAATTTTCTTTTAAATTTATTATGTTTCTCATGCAAATTTTGTATCAGTTTTTTTATAAAGAAAAAAATAAATTTAAAATAAAGATTAAAGCTCTGCAATTATATTTACCATTTTAATATCACATATTTAAAAATATCTTTTAAAAAAGTCACTTTAAAAAAAATTCAATTAAAAAAACATTTAAAAGTTTGTTTTCTTTAAAAAGTGTAACCCCTTTAAATCATTCAAATTAAAAACTGTTACTGTAAAAATTGAACAACTATCTTTCCGATGAGTCTTCAATATATGTTTTAAGATCAAATGTATCAATCAAATCTGCTGTTTTAATAGATTTGCTGTTTTAATAGTATTAATTTTAAAATCACTTTTAACTAACTTTAAGTAAAACATTGAATACAAAAAAGTAACTGTTATACAAATGTTATATATTACAGCTCAATTAGGTTTAATGATATAGCCATTTAACCTCAGTTACCATGATCAATTTTATAAACAACCATAGCAACTACTAAGTAAACCATAGCACAATTACTACCATGAATTTTAAGCTCCCTAACCGTGGTGTTTTTTATATCAGAAGTTATCTTCTGCCTTGTAAAAAACTAGCAGAAGATAAAATCTGATATGATCTGTAAGAATCTGATAAACTTTTAGCGTATGTAAAAAAGATAGTGTTCCTAATGGAGTGCACAAAAAAAAAAAGTTTGAACAAAAATGTTTAACATTAAACATAAAACTGTTATTTTAAAATTCAGAGTGTATAAAAGACAACCAGAGCATGATCACAACTGTTATCTATACCATTAAAACTTTAGAAATAACAAATTAATAAAAACAGCAATACTTACTGAGTTTTCTAAGGAATTGTTTTTATATAGTGAAACAGTTTCACTTTCAATGTGTTCTCTTGTGTTTAACATAAATTTTGTACTAGCTGATTTAAAATGATTATTTCCATCTGTAATAATAATTCGGGGCTAAAAATTAATTATATAAATACTACATTAAATAAATGACAGTATTTTTATATTGTGTATATGTATATATGTATGTAATTTATATATGTATGTGACATGAAATTTTTTTATTTTATTTGAATAAAAAACTAAAAACTAAACTACTCTTAGTTGAAGATCAACAGAAATAAATACTTTCTTTGTCCATTTTTATGACCTAAAATTTTTTAATTGGTATAATATTTAAATAGACTGTATAAATGGAATTAACTCAAAATTTTTATTTTTGTAACTAAAGATTTTCAATAAAGTATTTTTAAGGTGAAAAAATTATAAAAATTGATTATTTTTGATAAATGGATTTGTTAAAGAAACTGTGAGCAAACTTTGAGTTTTTCACAGTTTCTTTTTCTTAACTTAAAACCTTGTTATAATACTTTTTAATATTATAACATTAATTATATATGTTTTAAAAAAGACTGTAAATTTAAATAAAGGGTTTATTAAGAACTCTTTAGGGGCATCTACAACACCCTTTAATTCATTGAAAAAAATTTTATTGAAATTTTTTTTTATTAAAGTTTTAGATTTTTATTAGCATATTTTATATATTCTACTAACCCAAAATCAAATATGAGTAAGTTGGATTGCTAAAAGAAACAAATACTAACTTCCTTCCATACCTGGGTGTATAACTATGTTAAAGAAGACAATGTGTACCTATTTTGGATAAGTTAGTAAGGTAAGCTTTTTTTTTAATAAAATTTGGCAAAAAAAAAAGGTTTTTAAAGATAAGAGAATAGGTAAGAAAAATGGCATTTGAAGTAAACTTGATACATTAAGTACAACAAAGTTTTCAATATCAACAAAATCAAAAGAAATGTGCATTCAAATTGATTTCCACTGGCAACTCTGTTAAATTTTTGTAAAGTTTAAATAGATTTAATGCCAATTCAAGTCTGATTTTTCAATGAGACCCTAAATGAGATTAGTCATTCAAATCTGAATTTTGCAACAAAACCTTAAACGCCAAAAAAAAATTTAATAATAAAAAATTATTTATTAAAAGGATGAAAGCTTATTTTTTTAAAAGAACAAAACTCTTTGATAATAAAACTAAAAAATTTTGAAAAGTATGCACAATTTTTAAGATTAAAATAAAATAAAACCTTTTTTCTTTGTGGTTGATTAAGAAGATTCTGGTCAGATTTTACACGATTAACAAAATCCCAAAATTGATCAAGAAACACCTGATAATCTAATAAGTTATCTTCAGGTTCCCAAGATGACTCCCATTTAACTTTATAATATCTTTTACCATTCTAAAAAAAAGATTTAACCTAAATCAAACAATATAAAATAATATATTTTAAAATCATCTATGATTCCTTCAGGTTTATGGCACTCCATATCAAGTATACCTACATTACTAAGTAGTATAAAAAAATAATCAAAAACCAAAAGGGTAACTAATTTTATTGACAGCAAACATTAAAAAACAAATTTGATTAAATATTTAAATAAAATGATATTAAATAAATTACAAATATAAACAAATAAAAATATACTAACATCTAGCCTGAAATCAACAACTTTCTTTATATCGTGGCCTCCAGGTCGCATAATGAACAATTTATTTCCTTGATGATCAGTTTCATACATAACTAAATTTGTCGATAAACGTTTACTAATTTCGCTGTATTTGGCGTTAAGGAAGATTCAAGTCACTCCATCAATGATAGTGATTCCGATTAAGAGTCGAATTATACGAAAAATACTTCCCAGACAATAAAACTAATAAGTTTATAACTAGTTAAAAACTAAGCGAGTCAAAATGGTGCCGACTTTAGCAGGCTTTAGCGCACGTATAAGAATATTTTACGCCCTCATTCGCGGAGGATATCGCCTAGTTTTTCTTGATAAAAATAGATTTCATCTTGATTTAATAATTTGTTATGATTACGCTGCAACGATACAATACTTTATTTGCACAATTTATTTGCGTTACCTTCAATTTATCGGGTAGAGGAACATAAAATAGATTAAAATTGGAATTATTTTAGCACAACATTTGTAGAATATCACTAAAGGAACTACAATTGAAATCCTCTTCTAACTTTAAATATCTCAATATATTTCTCTACCGAGAATAAGTTACTGATAACAAATAACAAAAAACGATTGAAAATTGTTTCCTATCTTATTAGATTACAAGGGTTAACCCGGTATGGGTTTACAACGTAGGTGGTCTAGTAAAGGAGGAAGGTTTAGGTTTTTGATTTTTTAGCTGTTGTAGTGATTGGTTTGCATGAATTTGCATTTATTGACATTAAAAGACATGAACGATGTGTACTTCACTGCTTCCTTGATATCGGCTTGCAGTTTTATGGTTCTGATCTCCGTTTTATAATTTTATTAAAATTTAATATCATTTTTACACAGCCTGTATAAATTACTTCCTTCTTATTCAAAAAACATGCCATGTTAAATATACAAAAATACAGAAAAAAAAGAAAAGAAATAAGCGCCTGTCCCTTATTGATAGGCACTTATTTTCTTCATCGTTTTGTAAACCGCCGCACAGTGTGTCATTTTAACAATCTAGGAGGGAAAAATATGAATGCAAAAATAAACTATTAACTAGCTCTTTTATAATACAGTTATAAGTTTAATAATCATAAAATGCCAAATAATTAAAATAAAACGAGTAAATTAAGAATTTACTTATTTTATTTCAAAAAAGAAAATTACACAAAATTTTTTTGCTGAAAGTTTTTTTTTACATTTAAATAAGAAAATACAATTTTAATTAAATAAAATAAATTATATAATAATTATATAATAATTAGTTTTAAAATAAATTATAAAATGAATTATATAATAATTAGTCCTCATTTGTGTTCTTAGGATCTTTAATTTCTAAAACTCACTTGGTTGCTTTCTAATAAATTAGACAATTCTGGTTTCATTTTAATTTTCTTACTGCGTGTTGTTTTTTATTTTGAACCTCTTGGGTCTCTTCTAACTTTTTCCGATAGAAAAAATGTAAAATTCTATGATGATTTTTCCATGAAACAAAACTTTATAAATGGTAACCATAGGATACCATTGGTATTGCTTTTTTAAAAAATGTCATCAGTCTCTCTTGTGCAGATTTCAAATTTATCTAAATTGGTTTTATAGCATGAGTTTATGCATTCACATAAGCAACAGCATTATGCAGAAGAACATGGTGACAGCACATTGCAAACTTTTCCGTCTGCCATGCAAACTATCATAGTTGGTTTTTGTATGTCAAGATCTACGACAAATATTTTGGTGGGTGAAAGCATTTTAACTTAATGTTATAAATCATTAACTTCTTTAGTTATTAAATCTGTAGATTTAAAAAACTAGTTTGATAGGCCGACAATACCGAGTAGATAATGTGGCAGGGTTTTTCCAAATTATGGTTATAATATCATGTAGCTCTAGGGAGTCCCATTCCCGCAAAATTTTCGAATTACCACACCAATTTTTAAATTGAGATTTAGAGTAGGGTTAGGTTATTTTACAATAACAAAAACTATTGTTTTTGTTATTGTAAAAATGAAATACAATACCAATTACAATACAATAATATTGTATTGTAATACCAGAGGTGTAGTTAAAACACTTTTATGGTTATTATATTGCTGTGGATAAAAACAGTAACAATAACTATTGTATTGTTTTTTTTCTTCTAACAAATTCATTGAAACTCTAAAACTATTGTATTGTATTGCCGTGTATTAATGTAAAACAATTACAATAACTATTGTCTTGTATTGCTGTGATAAAAAAACAATTACAATAAGTACTGTGGTGTATAGTATTACTATTTCAAAGTCTAATAGCTATTGTATTTTATAGTATTTAGGTTCTTTTTTCACGCATTTATTATTATTTGGGTACTAGATAATTTAGCGGTACCCGTGACGTTCATTTTCAGCAGCCATTTATATATATAAGTTTTATTTATTTTGAGAAGCGAAGTGAAGCCAGGAAAGCCAAAGAAGTATATATATTACGTATACATAATAAATATTAGATTCAGGGGAGCATGTGGCACCCGTTTCTAGCGACCATTTACATATATAAATTTTATTTATTTTGAGTTCAATAATATAATTGATTAAATAATAATTTATTTAGATTTAACATTAATAATATTAATTCAAAATCATACAAATATATAATTTATCATATGCTTGTAATTAAATAATTATTCGCTTTAAGAAGTGAAATTTTTTATTTTTTTATAATTTTGTCTAAACTGATATTGACATGTTTTGCCGGATGATGACGTCTAAACTAATTGATTACATTAAGCGCGTGAAAATAATTTTTTTTCCAATATATCTAACCGCTAATGTGTAATAAATTACAGCGTTATGGAGTCAGAGAACCATTGACCTGGGTAATTATTGATTAGATTGTCTAAAAATGTGAACTACTTTAAAAATTTTCTACATTTTCATATTGTTCACCAAGACCTATCAGACCGTACCATTAAATTAAAATATACCAATTTTGTATCAAGATATATAAAATATACCAATTTTGTATCAAGACCTATCAGACCGTACCAGTAAATTTTGTGTGAATCATTTTTGAAAAATGAGGCAGTTTAGAACACCAAATAAATATTGTTCCTGATTTATGTAACAAAATTCTTTTATAACTTTGCAACTAGATATTTAGTTACTTTATGAAACACACACAGCCATAAAACCTAAGGGAAACAAAAGACAAAGTTATATTAGAGTAAGTGTGAGTTGAGTAAGTTTCGAAACAATTTGATAGGATAAAAGCAAATAGCTTAGTGGAAGAAATGGTAGTAATTATTTATGTATATCCCCAGCAGTAAAAGAAATACAGGCCTGATTAAACTCACTTTTATAGAGCTATATAAGTTTTGCAATGAGGACAAGTGAGATTCAGTAAATAAAATAGAAACAGAATCAATACTTATGTATTAGATGTACCCTATTTCAAGGTCGCATATCTCGGAGACTGGACTGTTAAAACATTTATTAAATTTTGACACTAAAATCTTTTTTTTATTACATTAACAATATATTGTCATTGTTTTATAAAGACGAATTACAATACAATATTTTTTTTATTGTAGTGGGCCATTACAATGCATTTTTTTTTAGATATTGATATTGTTTTATAAAGATGAATTGCAATACAATATTTATTGTTATTGCATTACATTATTACAATAGTTGTAAATCACAAGTATTGTTATTGTTTCTAAATTAAGTTAATACAGTAAAAATAGTTATTGTTACTGTTATTGTTTTCATTACAATTATAATAGTCATAACCCTAGTTTAGAGTAAGAAAAATAATATTTACTAAGTATTTTTAAAAAATATAAAAATTTAAGAGTCTCCCAACTTAGAAAAAAATGAGCAAACCTTTTTTTACCGTGTTTTTTTTTAGTATTTTTGTTAACAAATATATTCCGGAACAACTTCAACTTTTCACACAGTATAATTTGCTATCTTATTTTTACTGTATAAACAGTTTGAGTTAAAAAAAAAATTAATTTAAGGGTCCTCCGAATTTAATAATCAAGTGGTTTTGTAATTTGACATCGTCAGAAAGTAGTTATTAACCATAAAGGCTTAAATTTGGAACATTATAAAAATCTATTCATAAAACATTATATATAATAGAAATAATAGTGTCGAAGTAAAAAAGTTTGAATTTAACCATTTAATTATTCTAAAGCGATGGTTGCGTCTAAATTGCTCAGTATAAGAAAAATTTATTTTCCTGTTGTTTTTTTAGCAGCGTGGTCAATCCATAATTTTGTAAATTTAAGTTGTTTGTTTTAAGTTTTTTGTTTTAGCAGCAAGTTTAATATTAAAATTTTTAACATTTTAATATTAGCATTATTATTATTTAGTTTTAATATTAGTATTATTAAATAATAATATTTGGACATAATCAATAATATAATTTGTTTAAATAGTGGTTTTAATAAATTAATGTTTTAAATGTTTTATTTACTTTAAGCTTTTTGTGTTTACAGAAAGTTTAATATACGAATTAAGTTTAGGAAATATTTTCTAAAATAGAGTTCCAAAGAGTTTAGACTAAGAGTTTTATATAATTAAGATATAAGCAATTAAAGTTTTTGTAATTGCTAGACCTAAAAAACTGATTTTTTTTTACTTTTCAGTAAAGTCATTCGCGCAGTATAAAAGAGAAAAATCGTTTAGTGGAAAAAGCAAAATCCGCACCAAATCATCATCAAGACTTTATTGGATTTGGACTAGAGAAAAGTTTAAGTGTCGGTGTAAAACTTCCCCATAAAATTGCTTTGCTTTGAAGATACCTCTACTTTAGCGAAATAACAGTGTCGGCAAAAAATACTTTTAAAGATAATTTGATTGAATTACAAGAAAATTGGAAAAGAGCTCACGTAACAGTTAAGTCAGAAAATAAGTGCTTCGAGTATTTCATTGCAGTTTTTAATGAATGGCAAAGTGTGTTGAAGAAGGGAAAGAAGTGCCCCGAGAAGAAACAAACTCAGTTTTTGCAATCCATGAATCAACTCTGTGACATATCAACTGCTGACACATATTACATATTAAATGTATCTCGACTTGCAGCCTGGAAGAAGGACTGAGAGTTTTTACTGAATCAACGGAAGTATCCACAGGTAATTTCATGCATTATTTCAACCATGTTGCTGTATTGTGTTTACAAAACAGCTCTAAGTAATCAAGAAGTATAAGAAATC